ATAACGGTTTATTGGACAAAATGACAAAAATCTAAAGCACTTGCCGGAAAATACTGCACTGTGATCAGGTGAGATGTGAATTTATTTAAAATTCTCAAAGATGTAGTGGTTTGCACCGCGCATCATGTTTCAGCGCGCGTGTTCAATGAGGGTGATTTGTCCTCTATGTGCATCCGCAGACGAACTATCTTTGACATTAATTCGGTACTTTGGACTGATAAGAAAATGTAAATATATAAAAGTCATCGGTAATATATATTTAATGCATGCAGATAGGTGCAATTTAAATTAGACACTACAATAGCGTTAACTTTCAAGCTAACAGCTAAGCTGATAAAGACAGGCACGAGGTAGATCATCTTGTGCATTATTTCAGACAGCATGCAACCTAATAGAACCACATATCTCCGCAAGCAACCTGGAAAGTCTATGGAACACGAAGTAGAGGTGACTTATAAGTCTTGCCAAGCAATGGTCAAAAGAAATTTTGAAGAAAAAAAAAATCGGAAAAAAAATCATTAATATGTATACCCCTAAAAATAACTAGAGGATGCTTTTGTAAAAAAGCGCATGTCTCCCCCACTGCACTGTGACCTTTGACCTACTGACCCCAAAAACAATAGGGATCATCTGCTCTATAAGACCAATCATCCTATGAAGTTTGAGGGCTGTAGGTCAAAAGGAACTCTAGTTATCATCCGGAAACGAGAAATTGACCAACGGTCACTGTGACCTTGACCTTTGACCTACTGACCCCAAAAACAATAGGGATCATCTGCTCTATAAGACCAATCATCCTATGAAGTTTGAGGGCTGTAGGTCAAAAGGAACTCTAGTTATCATCCGGAAACGAGAAATTGACCAACGGTCACTGTGACCTTGACCTTTGAACTACTGACACCAAAAACAATAGGGATCATCTGCTCAATAAGACCAATCATCCTATGAAGTTTGAGGTCTGTAGGTCTAAAGGAACTCTAGTTATCATCCGGAAACGAGAAATTGACCAACGGTCAGTGTGACCTTGACCTTTGACCTACTGACCCAAAAACAATAGGGATCATCAGCTCTATAAGACCAATCATCCTATGAAGTTTGAGGGCTGTAGGTCAAAAGGAACTCTAGTTATTATCCGGAAACGAGAAATTTGACCAACGGTCACTGTGACCTTGACCTTTGACCTACTGACCCCAAAAACAATAGGGATCATCTGCTCTAATTAAGACCAATCATCCTATGAAGTTTGAGGGCTGTAGGTCAAAAGGAACTCTAGTTATCATCCGGAAACAGAGAATTGACCAACGGTCACTGTGACCTTGACCTTTGAACTACTGACCCCAAAAACAATAGGGATCATCAGCTCTATAAGACCAATCATCTATGAAGTTTGAGGGTTGTAGGTCAAAAGGAACTCTAGTTATCATCCGGAAACGAGAAATTGACCAACGGTCGCTGTGACCTTGACCTTTGAACTACTGACCCCAAAAACAATAGGGATCATCTGCTCAATAAGACCAATCATCCTATGAAGTTTGAGGTCTGTAGGTCTAAAGGAACTCTAGTTATCATCCGGAAACGAGAAATTGACCAACGGTCAGTGTGACCTTGACCTTTGACCTACTGACCCCAAAAACAATAGGGATCATCAGCTCTATAAGACCAATCATCCTATGAAGTTTGAGGGCTGTAGGTCAAAAGGAACTCTAGTTATCGTCCGGAAACGAAGAATGGACGGACGGACGGACTGACGGACGGACTGACGGACTGACGGACGGACAGGGCAAAAACAATATGTCTCCCCCCGAGGTGGGGGAGACATAATTAACAGCACAGCCGATGATCATACTGTATACAAATAAGAACAAAACACTAGTAGAAGAATATTTTATTACAAAGAATAAAGTTAAACATCAAAATTGATTGTCAAAAAAAAAAGAAGAAAAAACAAAACAAAATGGACGGAACATTGAGACAGAATACTATCACAAATATTTATCAGATCACAAAATAATCTATATAACAGAAGCTCCATTAACTTTTTTATTCCAAAAGTTTACCACCACGTTCATCTTGACTTTCTTTACTGTGGTCTGCTAAATTATTAGTTTGTTCTAAACTGATATTCGTGTTCATAATAAATCTATGACACAAATGTATGAAGGCCATTCAGTATAATCATCAAAGAAATATACTTGTACCAGTTTGTCATGTATATCAAACATACAAAATGATTTCAGAGAATTTTTCAAATGCAAGTGGTACACATTTTTAACAAGAACTCTTTTTTTATAAAACAATTTAGTGTATATGCTTTAAAAAAAACTCCATAGGTCACGCTTTTGTAAAATCCACAGGCCACAACTATGTAAAAATTGCAATTATATGCAAAGCTTATGTGCTGCATAACATTTTCATTCAATATAGATCAAACGAGAAGTAAAATCAAAACTTGAGTACTATTAATAGTCACAAATTGTCATTAAATTAAGTAAGTTACTACGATTCATTTACATAATTGAGCCGTGTCACTATAAAACCAACATAATGGGTCCACGCAGTCTGATCAGGATCCATGCTGTTCGTTTACCAACTCTTTTACTAGTAGAGAAACTGATGGCAAACAGGATGGATCCTGATCAGACTGCGCGGATGCGCAGGCTTGTCTGAATCCATGCAAGTCGCAAACCCATTATGTTGGTTTTGTCGTGACACGGCTCATATTAATCTAAAACTTAGTAAAAGACTACAACTTATTTACATGTATTAATAGTCTTGAAACTTAGTAAGTGCATGGCCACAAATTATATACTTATTAATCAATAACTTAGTAAAAGGTCACAACTTATTTTCAAGTATTTTTATTTTTGATGGTTTATGATCACAAATTATTTACTTATTTTCCTCAAATTTTGTAAGCTGAGCATAACTGAGCCCTTCTAATAGCCAACCAAGCTTTTAATAGTTCAGAAAATTGTCCAGAACTCATAACAGTAAACAGGCGACCTTTAATACTTATAACTGACCTATGTTGTCAATAGTCAAGCAGCAAGCCTATAGAATATAACAAGATTTTTTTTAAAACCAAAAATTGAAGTATTTTCTGAATACAACAGTCTTTGAAAAATGTACATACATGTACAATGTAGTAACTTCAATGTACACTTAAAATACACTGATAAATCATAATTTATAGAGTTGATTTATAAGCCAAAGCAATTATACATTCTTTCATGAGCAAGATAAAAATTTCATGAAAAGTATTAAGAATGTAAATTACCAAAGTTATCAATAGCGTTGATGAGATGTAGAATATATAATTTACATGAAGTTATTAGATGTTTGACACATGATTGAGTTCAACTTATAATAGGTGAGTTACACTATGGTTGAGTTACCTGATGCTCATTAACTAGTGAAATTTACCATATAATACAACTATGTTACATCTTTCAACTATGAAATGTTCGAAATGAAGTTCAATTTGTCGGACGAGTCAATAAAAATGTTATAAATGTTGTTAAATCATGCACATTTTGATTGAAAAATGACTACAAAAATTGTTAAAAAAATTAGCAAATAAAGGGCAATTTATCTCAAATGTTGTAATTATAAAGACTAAAGAAAAAAAGAAAAGAAAAGAGCATAAACTACATAAATAACAAGAAAAGAAGCTAAAGATTTACAAATACAAGAAAGACAACAATAATAATGAAATGGAATGTACAGATTAAATTTGCATAAAAATTAACATAGATGATGGTTTATAATATAATATGCATAGTTTTCTCACTGACCAGCAGTTTGGTATGAATAAATAAATGCAGTAAAATAATGTAACAATCTCTTATAATATTATCTTATATTGCTTTTCATGTTGTCTGCGTAATAACTATTATGCAGTTGCAAAAATAGTTATCTTTAATGAAATAACCATAGTATTCATGTATATTGTCACCTTACTGCAGTAACAGGTTAACTCCTATTCAATTTAATAGGAGTTAACCTGCTACTGTACCAAGGTAAAGATGATATAACAAATTAAACATAAAACACCAAACACACAAAGTGTTACTTGCAAGCAGCAGTTCTGACCTATCTATGCCAACAGTACAGAGCCAGGACAAACCAAACATCCCAGTATTCGGACAAGACTTGGGCATTCAATTTCAAAACATTCTGATATTGCAATCTCCTTATTTTGCAAATTACAAAACTAAATCTGAAAATATCCATAACAAAAATAACAGCAAGGTCAAGGTCAAATGTCTACTTGCAAGTGTGCTTGTTTTCTGTTTTGTTCTTTTTATTGTTTTCTTTTTCCAGATGGCACAAGAATAAATTATGTTTTTCGCTTTATATATACAAATGTAATTCATAACATCTCCAAACTCTTAAAATTATTCACCAACAGCTCAATGAACATGTAATGAGTCAAATCTGTTCATTCAACTTTTTCATACAATATGTAGACTGAAAAAATCACGTTACAACATACAAAATTGAAATTGAGGCAATAACCTTTCCACTCATTTAACATTCTTCAATAAGAAGGATAAAAAAAAAATACACACGAAATAAGGCATTGACCGTTTAAAGTAGCACAAAATGCTACTGTTGACAAAAATTATGCAAATTTTGAATACAAGGATATTATGAAAACATAAACATCCCTATTAATCTATGTTAATTACGAAAAGCAAAAGGTTACTGTTGTATGTAAAAACGTCATGCGTAACTGCCGACATTCAATAAGTGTAAAAAAGGCAACAAAAAATTTCTAATTTGAAATAGGACACATTGCTCCAAGTTGACAAGACAATCTGGTTATAATCAAACTCTAAAGTGAAGTCACAATGATGGCAAGATTTTCGTCTTTGAAATTCATATGACAGAAAAAAATTGTGTTTTACGCCTGTTTATTACATCTAAATGTATATTAATAGTATAATTTTTTATCCGTTTTTTTGTCAGCTTCTTGTAAATTTTTCTTTAGAAATGTTCAGTTTCAATAATCCAGCTCTCTGGCTCCTGAAGGTAAGAATGTATGAATGCCAAGATTGTCTCCCTTGTAAACTCTTCATTCTTTTTCCTCCTCCTTGTTGTTGGTGGGTAGAGGGCCGCATGTTTGTGGTCGTTCTTGTTCACTATCACCAGACGTGGGAATTCAAACAGTGACAATGGATCCAGCTCATCTGATTCAACTGTAAAATAGAAAATTATAATTGATATATTTTTATAAAACTGCAGGAAAACAGTTCCATTACTATCTTTAACCATGGTTCTATTCCATTAGACTGTGAACTATGTGGGCACAAGAGAGACATAACACTTTATTTGATCTGAGGTCAAAGAACTGGAAAAAATAGATTCGAACAAATATATTCAAAATTACATGCCCTTTGTTTTTAATAGACAGTGTTACTTATAGATGGTAAAAGATTTGGTCAGTGGTACAGAACCAAAGAACAATGGTTCACTGTGAGCTTACCACTGGTAAGTAAATGGTTGAAAACATAATTATAGAGCCCTCATGAAGAAGAAGAAGAAGAAGAAGAAGAAGAAGAAAAAAAGAAGTTAATCTCCAACTTGTACACATACCGTTAAAGTAACCTTGCTGTTACAAGTAATTAACTATGCGAGATGGGTCTTAACAGAAACTGAGGTCAAATAAAATGCTCTGCAAGATTAATACAATTCAAATGAAGACCCTTTTTTGACAAACTTACAAACAAATATAACTCAATTTTTTTTTGGAACTACACAGAAATGAAAAGTATAATTTTCACATTTTATACTACTAACACTTTACTAAAATACTAACATTTGCATTTTTATATCTGTGTGACTACATTATCACATACATTGAACTAAGTAGTTAAAATTAGATAACTATAAAATTCTTTGACTCCATCACACATCATTTCACATGTGCTAAATCTGTAATAAATTTAAGGAAACAGACCACATCTTACAGCTTTGTAATATTTCACACTCCATTTATTTACTAAGAGAGCAATTCCCATGGTTAAAGAAAGCTGTTTCATATGAATGATTATGAAATATTTTACATCTGATATTTTCCATTGAGTTTTAGATAGACTTCTAAATAGTAAATTGTAAAATGTTTCAACTCGGACTGAAATTAACATAATTTCCCTGAGTGCATTACACTTATATCAATGTTTATCAATGACTCTGATGGTAATTTTAATAATTTCAATGATAAAAGTCATGCTTATGCTACAAAATTGGCAAAGGACTGGTTTACTCTTTTGAAACGAAAACACTTGAACATGATTTCCAATGAAAGCAAGTGCAGAACATTGTCATCCTTCAAAATATTATTTTATCATTTGTATTAGAATCATCATTATGACATAGGTTTTCTTATTCATTTAAAACCATCTTAATTACTAGTAGCTGAGAAGAATTTCTCCAGAAATCAACTCTTATTGTCAACAATCATTATTTGGCTTCTGAAACTTGCTTTAAATTATAGAAGACATAAACATTATCGAGAACTCATGATTTTGGGTAGGAGAAATCCATAACATCATAACTAGTTATGTAATAGGGTTATTAGAAGATAATCTTGAAGATGTTACTTGCTAATAAATAAGGAATAACAAGAGCCAGTCGAACCAGGTGATGCTCCCCAAATAGGTTTTGGACAAATAAGAAGTTTCTTGTTAATAAAGTTAAAAGTGTAAAAATTAAAAAGGGCAATATCTCCAAAATAAGGCAAGGCATAGTTATGGTTCCAATGCACTGCACTTCTACTCAATGAGATCCATCTACCTACAAAGTTTCTTGTTGATACCTCTTGTAGTTTCAGAGTTATGTCCAAGACAAAATGCAGACGGACAAACAGACGGATGGTCAAAGCGGCGACTATATGCTCTCCCTTTGGGGAGCAGAAAAATATGTAGAAATTTTGAAATTTTCATTTGATTAACTCTTTAATCTTAACCATGATAAATATCTTAAATGGACTCCAATTGCCACTCTGGTGCCGCAGATATTGTTCGTCTGCACTGGTTGCACGTGTATAATCATTTGCTGGTACTTTAACCTAGCTTACAGCAGCATTAAAAGCATGTGCTATAGTTAAATTATAATAGACATAAAGGCAGAATGAAAACTGTATAATAGAATTTACATAAACTTTTCATGATCTTAGGATATGATAACAGAAATATTCTAAGCGTAAAAAACCCAACAGAAATTGGGGTCATGAGCTCATTTTCAAGTTGTCTTTGAAATTTGAAAAGTTTGCTTTTATGTCTATATGCACATTATACACTTTAAACTGGCTTGTTTATTTCACTTGTACATGTAAAAAGCGAAACATTTTAAAATTCTTGTAAATCTCAAATTTAACCTTTTTGTTTCTGATGTCAACAAATTTTACCTAGCGATCAGTGCAGACCAAGAACAGCTGGCACATGGGTGCTTTCTAATCATTGTCTGCACTGTTCACTACTCAGTGTTTTTGAAGTGCTTCCTAAAATGACGAATGGTTAAGTCCATTATGAAAGATGGACAAGTCCATTTCATAATTTTTATTAAGTGGTTGGCAAGAGTTAAAACATAAAAATGCCAAATAGTTTAGGAATGTACTATAATCTACAATAAAGTTGTTCAGCAATGGTAAAGGGCCATTGAAGATTAGACAATTATATCAAATATAGTGACACATATCTTAAGTCCTTACATCATATTGTGTACCACTATAAAAATAGAAAATAAAAGTACACTGTATTATCAAGTATAATCAAATGATGATCTGTATGTTGAGAGTCATCATATGAGCCGCGTCATGACAAAACCAACATAATGGGTTTGCGACCAGCATGGATCCAGACCAGCCTGCGCATCCGCGCAGTCGGATCAGAATCCATGCTGTTCGCTTACAAACCCAATAGCTAGTAGAGAAATTGATAGCGAACAGCATGGATCCTGATCAGACTGGCAGATGCGTAGGCTGGTCTGGATCCATGCTGGTCGCAAACCCATTATGTTGGTTTTGTCGTGACGCCGCTCATATAAATTATAAAGCCTCTCATGACACTTGTTTCAAGCTTAAACTTGTCTTGAAAAAGGAACAATTAAAATGACAATATATAAATGACCGGGACAGCTTGTATCATCTTCATGAGTTTTTTTGTGGTTTTGGGGAGCAAAAAAGAAATCTGTCTTGATGATATATTGAGAGCACTTTAGGGACCACAAACAAATTGAAATTATATGAAAGAAAGAAAGTCATGAGTGGGACATTAATACATAGAAAAATCACACGAAAAATCAGCACCCCCCAGCCAGGACTCAAACTACAATTCTCTGGGTATATTATTATAACTAACCACTATACAACAGTGGCTAATTGTGTTTTCTGATTTGCTTAGATTATTGAAATTTTATTGTAACTTCATCCCCTTTATGTGCCCTACTTGGATGCGTCGGGGGGCTGGGTCCTGTGAACGTTGCATTTGAAAGAATCCAAAGTCCATAGTGGGATTTGAACCCATGGTGACGAAGGGCAAATGGTTTAAAATAAACGACCTTAACCACTCAGCCATGGACGCCATTTTAAGAAATCTACTTGCATCATCCTGACAAGATAACATACCTCTTTCACCATCTTTTTATTTTCCCTTCTTTTAAATTTTTTCATGGTATTAATTGGTATTAATTAGCATTATATACTAAGAAAAATAAAAATGTAAACATGCATACAAACTTGCAAGCCCGTATAAAAATAGAGGTCAATGTGTCAATGTGTAACTGGCGAGGTATCCTATCACCCTATCCTGACAACAAACAAACAAACAAAAACAAAGTAAACATCAAATAATCCCGTCTGAAACATCTAAGCGCATTGAGACAAGAAAATAAATTGTCTAAACTCCCCCGCATGTTTGGGTAGCTACTTCAAATGCTAATGCATTACCCTTCCAAATCAAACACAAAATATTAACGACTATTCATAAAATTTATGCTTACAAGGCCTTCATACAAATTTTAAACATTGATTTAGGTTATATATTGATCTAATATTAGATAGAACTTTCTAGGTTAAACACTTGAAAAATGAAAAAAAAAATGACATTGAAGTAGGACGTAAAAAAATTTATTGTACTCAATATTTTACTCTCGTTGCCATGCTAGTATTGAATTGCACCCGTTAATACTTCAGCTTATATTTGTATTTGCCGTCTGCAAAAAAGGAATAAGGTTATGTTTTTTGACAACAGTTAAATACAACTAATTATTAAGCACTTTTAAAATTATAACGTAAGAGAAGTACACCATTTGTAAAACCAAAGTGCATTCAGACGTGCTTCTGTTATAGTAAAGAAAGATTAAAATCTCATTGAAATTAAATTGCTTCTACCATACCATAATTAAATTTATCACATTTTTTCTAACTAATTTATAGTATTCTTAATTGATTAGTGTTCTATGTATTGTTAATACTTTTTTAGTATTTCATATTCTTGACTACTTTTTGTTATGCTGCTTCTATTTATCACATTTTTTTTATAAATAATTCATATTATTTAATTTTACCCACAAAATATGGTGCTATATCAGTCAAATATATTTCATATTTTTTAAAAATAAATATTAAATATAAATATGAAAGTGGGCGGTGTCAAAACTCATATTTATTTTGAGGGACTTCTTTCGCCATTTTGTTTGAAAAATCTGATCAATACAAAACAATTTTTTGTTTAATTTTGCTTTGAAAACTATCTAGAATGATAGAAAATGGTGTAACTAAGAAAATAAAACCGAACACCAATATCTTTAATTCTGTTATTAACGTTGTACAGACGTTTAAAGAGTTGTTTACGTGACGTCACAATGTAGCGCCATTTATCGCATGCAAAACAAACGCAATACATATTACTGCGCGCTGTACAATTGCAGTTGTGTAGCAAGCAATTGAAAACGAAATTAAATAAAAAGGTTATTTTTTCGTTTTTTCGTGAAATATGGTATATATTTTCACTCAACATGATAAAATGCCACATATTTTCACTCGCCGTCCCGGCTTGTGAAAATATGTGGCATTTTATCATGTTTCGTGAAAATATATTCCATTTTTCACGAAAAAACGAAAAAATATCCTCTTAGTATTCTTAACTGATTCTCTAAATGTAATTAATACTTTTTGAAATTTTATTCCTGACTTGTG